CCTATTTTATGGGGACAAAATGTCCCCACAAAGATGGCAATATCCGAAATCATTGTCCTTTTTTGGGTCCAATGAGAAAAACATTTAATTTTCGTAAGGGTAGGTTTAGGAATGTCACCATAATGATAGGAAAACCTGTGTGTGTGTGTGTGTGCGTGTGCCTACTTACAGTAACCATATTTTGGGGACAAATAGGTATCCAGAAGTAAAAAAAACTTCCTTTTTTGGGTCCAATGAGAAAAACATTTAATTTTCGTAAGGGTAGGTTTAGGAATGTCACCATAATGATAGGAAAACCTGTGTGTGTGTGTGTGTGTGTGTGTGTGTGTACCTACTTACTGTAACCATATTTTGGGGACAAATTGGTACCCAGAAGTAAGCAAAACTTGACGAAATCACCTAAAACCTTCCTTTGAGGACGTCCTCATTTGTAAAACCGTGTGTTTTGCTATTTGTGAACACAGAGCAGGCCACAAGGGAGAGGAACTGATCAGAGATTGATCAGAGATGTATCAGAAGAAGGGAGACAGATGGCATCAAAACAACATTTTACATTGCATTATGCCATGTGATACTGTATATAGAAGCATTACCATGGTAAAGACTGCACATTACTATAACTCACCCTTCATCTGAAAAATTCAGCTAGAATATAGATTCAGTCATATGGCACAGTGAGGACATTTACTGCATTGACAGTAAACTCTGTTCTAGCACAAAACCTTATGGCCATGTCATACCTTCATCACACCTTTTGATAACACACTGGATAAATACTTTTACAAGCATTATTGATTTTATGTGAGATATGCAAGTTAGGTAATGTGTATTTTCTAACATGACAGTTATTGCCTATAGTACTGTAATTATTTCAGCAACAAAGGTGATTTGAAACATGAATCTTGCATTGTTTGCTCTTGAATGAACTGATTGTTAAAAGTACTAGCTTGAAAGAAGATCATACTGTTGTGTTTTGGTGATTATTTCAAATGTTCTCTCAATACATATCACAATGATCTTGTGTTTTGAAACAATGATTATGTGGAATGAAAATATGCGCAACTACAATGAAATCATTGAGATCAGGTTTTGAAAGTATGACTAGTGGTGTTACAAGTGTGATCAGTTTAAAGTTTAGTACTTTAAGAGTTTTGAAAATGTACACCTTACTTGTGAAAATAATACCAAACCGATTTTTTAAAAAAGTATATTAAAAAGGAGCCATTTAAATTAGGGTTGCACAATATTGCACAATATGTTTTCAATTTCATTATATTTTATTTTATTATAATAAAATAATAAGTAATATAATATGTATATGTAATTTATTAACTGTGATACTTTTTTTCAGGATTCTTTGATGAATAGAAAGTTCAAATAACAATATTTATTTGAAATAGAAATATTTTTGTAACATTATAAATTCACATTTGAACTTGCTGAATAAAAGTAAAAAACAAAACAAAAACAAACTTACGATATTACCTAAACTTTTAAACACTAGTTTATTTCTAAATAAATAATTTTCAGTGCAACAGATACATTTTGGAATATTTTTATTATGTTAATTTCATTGTAAAAAAAAAAATTTAATGAACGTTAGTTGATGGCAAATGTAAATGCATTTACATCATGCTGATTTGAGCATGCACAATTCCACTATCAGCTGACACATATGCCATAAAAAATCTCTAACATCAGCCAATAATAACAATATATCGTATTTATTCCTAATTTAGATATAATACACTTTGTAATGCAGTCTTTTTAAAATGCAGTAATGGAATTAATGCAGTAATTTAATGCCTGTGACTGATATTGTCATTAAAAATTGAGCAATAGTAGCAAATGATAGATTTCATAAAAAAGTCCTAGAATTGGGATGCATTGAGATGAAACACCCAATTACAATATAATCAGTTCCTGATGGGTAAAATCAAGCTCTTTCATTCATCATGGAAGTAAAATGGGTTGCGAATGCTCTCTTTAAATAACTCTCTTCTTGGAGGGTTATGTGGCTTTCTATATTCGTGTCTCATGACTGTTTAATACACACAGTCTGCACACAAACTTTTTCTCTACGGCTTCCAACGCCTCACACACTCCCAGCCTGCTCCCCTTTAATGGCACTTTTCTCTAGATTTACAGTCTGTGGTTAGCACAGAATGCTGACAAGAATTTTCCCTTCAACGCCGAGCATAGAACGATTCCCAAAGTTTCCATTCCGTCCCCCAGAAGCCTGCTGCGCGCCACTGCAGATGTCTGCTTTATTTATTTATTTCATGGATTTCTCTATTTATTGTCCAAAAAAAGTCTGTCAGACGAGTACTGTAGGGCGATTTCTTCCCCGCGCTTTTATCTCGTCTGCTCAGTATCTCCTGAGTTCAGCCCGCTGCTTGTTCAGTCAATCGTGATACCTGATTCTCCTTTGGGTTGCACTTCTATAGAGAAAGTGGGGATAAGATGGAGCGAGAGATGAAGGTGTATCGCTGGGAGCCGAGGCGATGATTCAACATCAGCTCCACCTCTCCCTCCCGCAGCGATGAGTCAGACGGCGAGATTTGCAAGAAAGAGCTTTTATTCCCTCCAGCTAAAAACATCTTTAAAACAGACCTGCCACCTTGCTTTTACAAATTCCCGAGGCACCAAAAGAGACTCAAAGTTGTCTTTCCCCTCATCCTTTAATCCCCTCTTTTATACTGCAATAAGCTTGTCTTTAAAGTCACCATGAAACCAGAGTTAACTTAATACATGTTCCTGGACTTACTGTGCAAAGTGTATCATTCAAACGGGGAAAAAACAACCTGTAATGCAAAAAGAACGTGACTTATCAAGTTATTTTTCAACCCCTCCCCAACCACTGTCCAGTACCTACTGTTAAAATAAAGTACTCTCTTACATAAGGTTGCCATACATGTTAACTTTAAGACTGCCTAAAAATATTTTTGGTGAGGTCATGGTTTAACATTCCCAGAGACTTGTGCAATTAAAATCAAGACTCAGTACTTTCCAAGACTATTTAAAAGCATTGTCTACACTGTGAAAAACTGTGAAACCAGTTGTAAAATGATGCATGTTATCAGGCGTGCAGTGTGTGTGAGTTTGTTTTGATGGTTTTTATGTGTCACAGGTGGTGGTTTGGAGATGGAGGGAACCGTACACATCAGATTAAGCCCCCTTACAATAACCCCTCTAGTAACCAGGTGGTGATTCGTGATGATGTGGAATACATTTATGCACAGCCAGGTAAAAAAAAAATCATATTGATTTTATCCAGATTTTTATTTGTATTGATTATCTACATTGAATTTTTTTTTAAACTCATATTTCTTGCAGGGGAGTACACCCTATTGTTCACGGCTTCCAGCCGCTATGAGAACAAGACATGCAAGGTCGATGTATACGTCTTTAGCGTTCTGACAAGTGTGCGAATCGAGATTGTCCCGCCCCTGCTACGTGCTGAAAAACCAGCTGACTTTGAGGCCCACCCCCTACCGTCTCCCTACGGCATCATCTACACCTGGAACTTTGGTGACAATTCAAGTGTACAGCATGGGCGTGAACGTAGGGTTCCTCACGCGTACGCTCACAGCGGTGTCTACAATATCTGCGTGAATGTCAACAACACCATTAGCTGGACAGACACCTGCATGGAAGTTATCGTCTATGAGGATGTTAAGGGCTTGGAGGTGATATCATCTGCTCCCACGGAATGCAACACTCCTACCGTTGTCACGGCAAGTCTGGAAGCAGGCAACAATGTAACTTGGAGCTTTGACATGGGTGATGGAATGGTGCACACGGTTATGGAACCCAAAGTTGAATATACGTACAGGAAAGATGGAAACTACACTGTAAATGTCAACGCAAAGAATGCTGTGAGCTCTAAATGGGTAACCATACCTGTTGAGGTGTTTGTGCTACAAGTGTTATCACTAGAACCTCCCGGGTGCATTCGGGAAAACAAAGAGGTACTCTTCCATGCATTTGTGTCAGGGAACGCTTCAGGACATCAGTACGTGTGGAGTTTTGGAGATGGAAGCCCCAACGAAACTCAGTATGGAACGCCGATGATAACGCACACATACGTTAAGAGTGGCGAGTACAATCTCTCGCTACTTATGTCAAGTGAAGCCAACAAGGCAAATTTTTTCAGAAGGGTCTGCGTCCAACGTGAACTCACAACAGTGTCTTTGATTCCTCTGAGAACACACATCAAGTTCGGTGAGGAGAGCAGATTTACAGTAGCTGCCTTCCCAGAATTTAACTACACCTACCTATGGGATTTTGGGGTACTTGACTCGAGAGGTCCTGTTCGAGGTGGTAAGGAGATGGCCTTTACATTCAAGAGTCCTGGGGAATATCTGGTTACAGTTACTGCACTCAACAACATCTCCTGTATCAATGACACTGTTTTAGTTGTGGTGCAACAATCTGTCAGTTTTTTGCTGATCAGCCATAATGGAGATAAAGAGAACAATCTTTCTTTACACCAAGGCTATGCTTTCAAGGCATCTTCAGACTCTGAGAATGCTGTCTACATCTGGAATTTTGGAGATAGGACTCGACTTAATGGGACAAACGTATCACACGCTTACAATTCCTCGGGCAAGTTTAACATCAGTGTTACAGGCAAGAATGAAGTGAGTGAGACCAAAAATGAGATTTCCGTTGTGGTCTTGGCCCCAATCACAGGACTGTCAGTAAATGCTAGCCTTGTTAATGTCCCTTTGAACACTTCCGTTCACTTTGAGGCACACCTCAACCAAGGAGATGGTGTAAGGTACTCTTGGATTCTTTGTGACCGGTGCACGTCTATCCAAGGCACTCACACCATGTTCTACACGTTTCGCTCCGTTGGGACTTTCAATGTCATCGTTACTGCAGAGAATGACATTGGCACTGTTCAGTCAAGCATTTCCATCTTTGTGCAGCGTGAGTTGGAGGGCTTGCAGATAGTGGCTGATGAGCTTATTGAAGGATGCTGTTTTGCAAGCAACCGTGTCCTTCACTTACAAGCCTCATTAAAAGAGGGCACCAATATGACCTTCAGCTGGAACCTTCTGAGGGAACATGAAAACCATGACTACAACCTCACGGGCAAGACCATAGACCTCAACTTTTCCACCCCTGGTCCTTGTGATGTCGTCCTCAAGGCAACCAACTTGCTTGGCCAGCTGGCTGTGAACAAAACTATTGAGTTTTTGGATCCTGTAAGGGAGCTGGTCCTTAAGATTTCATCAAACCCTGCTGCAGTAAATGCCATGACAAATATGACCGTATCTGCAAGTTTTGGAACAGCGCTTCATTACAAATGGTGGGCAGGTGGTGAACTGTTAACATCTGATATGTCCTCAGTCATGCACCGTTTCAGAAGCGCAGGTTTGAAACTGGTTAAAGTGGAGGTTTCCAACAAAGTCAGCTCGGAAGTGGTCTCAAAGTGGATCAGCATTCAAGAACCGATCTCGGGATTGACTTTCATCGCCAGAAATGTTACAGAGAACTTTGTAGCTTCAGGGGACAATGTTACTCTGCGTGGAGAAACACAGATGGGATCCAGCATTTCGTGGATGTGGCTATTGCCAGACAACACAAAATCGAACCAGCGCACCACCTCCTACATCTTCCCCAAACCAGGAATTTTCACTGTCGCTTTGAACGCCACTAATGACATGAACAGAGAAACATACTCACGTGAGTTTACCGTTCAAGACCGTATCCAGGGTCTGGAGCTCAAGGCCAGCAAACAAATTGCTGCGGCTGGTGAAAACGTTGAGTTTACCATCTCTGTCTCATCTGGAACTTCTGTTCATTTCATCCTGAGCATTAGTGGTGATGCAACTGTTGTTCTGACTAATCAAACCTACATCCACCAGTTCACTAGTGTGGCCAAGTACTACGTCAACCTTACTGCCTTCAACCAAGTGAGTTCAGAACGAAGGACTCTGCACATTGAAGTCATGGAGCCTGTGACCAAGTTGACTATACTGGACTGCTGTGATGCCGCTATACCTGTCGGTGTACCTAGGGCTTATGTAGCGTGCACGCCGACACGTGATCCGCTGACCATTCTGTGGACCTTTGACCTTCATCATGGTCTCAAGATCTCTCGGGTTGGCAAGTCGGTGACATATGCGCCAGAACAGCCAGGCAATCTGACCATATTCCTTAGAGCATTCAATTCTTTAAACGGATTAAATGTGACCAAGGTTATACGAGTTCAGAACATTATCAGGTCAGCCACCTTGGATGCTCAACCAAGCGACACCTTCATAAACAAGACAGTCAGCTTCCATGTGGGAATCACTCCTGTTTCAACTCCAGCGACATATCAGTGGGACTTTGGGGATGGTACTTCTGCAGCTGTCACAACTACACCTTCTCTTAGTCATATCTACATCCTTCCTGGTCACTATGTGGTGCGAGTTAATGTCAGTAACCTGGTGAGCTGGGTTACAGCAGAGGTTAATGTCAACATCTCTGTCCTAAAGTGCGACGAACCAGAAGTTCAGATCATTCAAGCTCCACGACTCGCCATCTGGCGTTACCAGCCAACCTTGGTAGAGGCCAATGTGAATTTAAAAGGTTGTGGCCTCTATGGAGTAGAGTACCTCTGGGAGATCCTCACCTCCCCTCGCTGTCAGGATGATGACAAGAAAGGTCCACCACCGTCTAAGGTCCGTCTCCCCCCAGAAGTCAACGTCCGGAGGCTCCAAATTTCAGTGCCCAAGATGTCGATTTCTGCTGGGAACTACACTCTAGTTTTTTCTCTGTCCTATGAGGGGGTGCCACTACGGAAGGCAGCATGTATTCAACTTTCAGTCATGTCCAAAAAGCTAGTGCCAATCATTGAGGGTGGCACATACCGTGTGTGGTCCAAAACTCAAGATTTGCATTTGAGCGCAGAGCAATCCTACGACCCAAACCTGGACCCAGAGAACCAGTCCCTGCTCAACTACCACTGGGAATGTGTGAGCACCTCAAAGGTAATCATGATTGATGTGTAACAGATATATAAAAATGAATGCTTTTTGATGTCTTAAACTTGCAATAAATGGATCTAGGCCATGATGTCCAATCCTGCTTTGGGAGGGACATCTTCCTGTAGGGTTTAGCTCCAGCACATCTGCCTGGAAGTTTCTATTGATCCCTAAGACCTTAGTTAGCTCGTTCATCTGGGTTTAGTTGGGACTGGAGCTAAACTCTGCTGGAAATCGTCCCTCCAGGATCAGGATTGGACATCCCTGATTTAAGCTGTAAAATGGCAATAGATTTAAGAACTAATGTTGGTGCTTAGATGCTTCTAATATGTGAAGCACCTTGTTGTGTATGACTGTTCATTCAATACTCAAGTGTCTTAAGATGAATAATCCAATTTGAGAGTTTTTTTCCCCCCTGGAAATGATCAGTGGATGAAAAAGTAAAATAAACATTGTGGTTGAGAGAGGGTTTGAGAGTTTGAGTAATTGGCATTAAAACAATGAACAATCAAGTGCTTTTGTTCACTGAGCTCATAGGCATATTTGAGAGCTAAAAGCTCTTAACAGATATGTGAATTTGTGAATTTGAGAGTTGTTTGAGTATGTGAGGGACATCTAGTATCAAAGGTTAACTTTGCACACAGCAGCTCAGAAAGATAAAATATGTGAAGTATGTGCCACAAATGTGGATGTTTGGGTGGTGTGTACTTGAGATCAGTTACATAACTAGCAGCGGATAAACTCAGCATTCCTTAGAGTTCTGCCAGCCTTTCAGAATCACTGCCGGAGGTGAGCCAGAGATTCCTGCTTTTTATTAAAACATTTTGTCACTGACAGAAATTCAAAGGAATATTGTATTAAGTAGAATGAAATATTTCAAGCTCCACTGGCACCAGAAAATAACACTTTAGCCACATTAAAAATGTATGAATGTCATTGCATTAGATGATAAAAAAACAAAAAAAAAACAGGTGGCATTTACTTTAAAGGAAACGTAAGCAAACTTTAAGCAAAATGCGTGTCAAAACAAAATTTTTTAGGTTCTAAATGATAATGCAGTAGATTTATTGTCCAAAATGAAGACAGAAAGTACACTTTGTGGGTGTCAAACGTGTATTCGGGATGCACAGTCATGGTCAGTGATTAAAATGCTATTAAAAAACTCATTAGGTAAAGTCATTAAACAACAAAGGTACCAAAACTTGTTTGATGATTATGCTCTTGTCTTGTATATCCTGAAGCAGGTAAATGAGTTGATTAATTACCATCTGCAGTGATTCTGTCGTTTAACTTCACCCTGCAGGGCCCAGCTCACTGCTCCACTTTGCATTTCGGGTTGGGTCCGAGCGACCCGGTTCTGGGAATCTCTGGTTCTGAACTGGAGGTAGATGTTGAGTATACCTTTCGACTGACCGTCAGCAAAGAAGGCATGACCCCAGAGTCCACAAACCAAACGGTGAGTGCTCTTGATTACTGCCAGCTTTTCATACCTAATATGCTGCATGTACAAATATTTCTTGTTATTGATTCTTGCCATTCGATCAACAGCTGTTTTTCTCCATTGCTCATACAGATTGTTTTATATTCCAAAATACATCTCATCACATTTTAACTTTTTTTTATTTTTAATCTTTTAAAATAAAATACTGGATTTTTTTGTGCATGAAACCTGCATTTTATTCAACAACTACCTGCAGTCCAGAAGCATCTTCAAAGTGCACTGAATAGAGCTGTGTCATATTTTAATGAAGTCATTGTCACTCTTTTCAGTGCAAACATGCCTCTTTTCTATGTAAATTAGGCTCATTATAGAATGCTAATTATCCACAATCAAAAACTCAGGCCATTTTGAATGGCGCAATTAACGTCACGCTGTTGCCGTCCCATGGAAAGCTGGCGGTAAACGGATTTTAATTTAAAAGAAACATTTGTTTACAGTTTCTAGCGATCATGACCACAGTGAATAATCAAATGATGAACAAAAGCACATCCTTCACCATCTCATTACTCAAAACTGGCCTGCGAGATGTGAAATCGTGCCTTTTTCTGGGGTGTACTTGTGCTTTTACCTGATATGCATACCTTCAACAGAGAAGTGTGAGCTAAAACAATGCAGCGCATGTAAATGAGTAAAATTATGAGTGGTTGATATTCATTGTTAGCGTTTCCCGCCTTTTTGTTTTGTTCTACAGTATTCAAATTAGTTGCTATCATCATTACAAAATGTTCATTCACGTTTAGCATACTCTGGATTTGGCTATAATTAACTGACCCGAACGGGTAAAACGAAGGTTCATTACGTAATTCAAAACATAATTTACATTCTGACCTTCACAATATTAAGCTATATGTGAAAGCCTGATATATGTGAGTTTTGAATGAGAATGTATATGAAACTCATTTCACTCACTGAACTGAAACTTTGACGGATGCTAAAGGGAATATTTCATGAGATTTAACTTTGAAGGTCTGATTGCTTCGAGGACCATGATGAAACCAATTCGTGATGTCTTATGACCCCTACAATTCTTTTATTCTTCACAAATTCATTATTCCTGTGTCACATTCACAACAGGAATGGGAAATTCGCCAGTCTCAGTGCTAGCCTTGTTAATATTTGAATCAGTTCAAAGAATGAGAGATTTTGAATATATGAACATGAACATAATTGCATAATTTAAAGGGCTAGTTCACCCCAAAAATGAAAATTCTGTCATTAATTACTAACCCTCATGTCGTTCCAAACCCCCAAGACCTTCTTTCATCTTCAGAACACAAATTAAGGCATTTTTGCAAAACAACAGCAACACAACTACCACGTTCAAGGCCCATTTTAACAATGTCCTTACTACCTTTCTGGGCCTTGAACATTTCCGTTACATTGCCGTCTATGCAGGGTCAGAAAGCTCTCGGATTTCATCAAAAATATCTTAATTTGTGTTCCGAAGTGTCTTGCGGGTTTGGAACGGCATGAGGGCGAGGAATTAATGACAGCATTTTCATTTTTTGCTCAGTCTCGCTACGAGATCAGTCAGAGCTCTTATGTGTACCTGGCTGGCACCTGCAATAACTGTCACAGCTCACTCAGAGGGGTGAGAACAAGCACAATCACAGGGTTACTATTAAACCACTGTTGCCTACAGGGAAGTATGAAATGCAAACATGATTACTTTTCGAGCAGGTTTTCACAATACTCCCTGCTGTTTCGGGTGGGTTGGGATGCTCAAGTAGATCTCTTAAAGTCCCCATGAAATCAAAATTAAAGTTTTTTTGGGTGTTAGTATCAATATGTTAGTCTTAAGGTTATCTATAAGGCAGTGTGCTCCAAAACAGTGACAAAATCCGCATTTAGAAGATATAAGCATTCAAAGCTTACAGTTCCTCACTTCCGTCAAAACGGCTCAAGGATTTTTTTGACGTCACATCGTACTTTATCTTCTCATCAAATCTTCTGACCAATCAAATGCTCCCTAGAATCCGAAGTGCCTGCCCCATACACTATAAATAAGATGCTGAAGTTGCGGCTGAGATCGGTCACTTGTTCACAGTGTTAGTATTTTCTGTAAGGTGAATGGCACGTAGTGCACAATGTAGGCGATAGGGAACGATTCAGACTGTAAATATGCTTTTGACTGGGGCAAATGAGGTCTGGTTTCACGTTGTGTCACGCGAACCGCGGCAGCTTGAATTCTACACAGAATGCTATATTTTATAGCAATATGGATGATATTGTGGCTGGCATACCCTGTCAAATGCAGCTTTATGGAGCTCAACGGCTTTGAACGGCTCTAGCCCAAGCTGTGATATAAACGAACGCTATTGGCTATTTTAAAAAGGGGCGGGGCTGCTTGATATGTCCCGCCCTGTCTTCCTGTTTCAGTTAAAATGACGTCAACACATAGAGTAACGCCGCGTGTTTCTAAGCATTTCAGGGGACCTTTAAGGACATCATGGAATCAAAATTGGACTTTCCATGTCTATTAGTTTTTTGGCCGGTGAAAGGCACAGCATTTTAATTTCTTTATCTTTTAGCTTTACAAAAAGCATGGAAAACATGATATAATTTGTCCCTAGGATTAATACTGTCCTCATAGAATCTGAATGTTGGGAATGACATATTTGGATTTTTGGATTATATTTGGAGTCACTCGTGCCTTATTTATTAGAGGAAACATATCGTCATAATTTATCGAAGAGCGCTGTGCATGGAGGCATGTCATTCTAGAACGCTTTCTCTTTTTTCGCAGGCATTCCTCTTGCTTTTTTCCGACCTGCTTTCTCATAATGTTTAGACTGAGATTCGAGTGATGTTATGGTTATGGGAACCGGAGGGAGGGGAGACCTGAGTGGGCGTACCGGGTGATGTCATCATTATGATGTGATGTGTTCCACTGCATTAGCCGTTAACGGCATGCCAAACCTCGTTAAACACGCACAGACATTTGCTTGGTGACCGAGCGGTCAAACACTCCTTCCCCTCGGTCTGGTTCCCATGAGCCATGAGACTGTAAATATTAGGGTACAATTCAGGGACGCTAATCTAGTGCTGCAAACACTCGGGTCTGAGATGAGTGCTGATTCGGATTGATGGTGATGGAGGTCACTGCAAGGTTACTGAAAAACCAGCCTGGAGCTCATTAAAAAATAACATCATTTGAAATAATACTATAAAAAATAAAACGTAATTTTAATATTAAAATGAGAATACAAAAAATACATACCACTTTTAAATAATTATGTAATGTATAAAATGCAATTATACATCTATTACTGATTTTAATACAATCATTTATTAAATTATATAATATTAATTAGATGTGTTAATTAATTTAATAATCTGCTCTATTAAATAAATGCATGAAAGTAAATACATAAAAGTGGCATGGAAATACAAAACCATTCCTAAAGCTGTGAAATTTTTTGTAACTACATAAAGATTTATATGCATTTAAAATAAGTTTTTTAATGCATTATGAGTGTTTTTACTTCATTAATCATATAAATATTAATATAAACTTTATTTATACTTGTATAACAATGTAGTTGTATTCTAATAATTTTTATTATTAATAAAGAGAATTATTCAGTTAATATAATACATTTAATTGTAACTATTACATTTATTTAATAATTAACTTTATTATAAAGAAATTTCTCATTTTAAAGTGATGTATTTATTTAATTAAGTTTAAATAATAATATGGAAATGACTTGGAAATTTGTCTGTTGTTGTTGTTAGCGGTGGACGGCGATGACCGGAGGGAACGAGACGCTGGTGCTGGATCTGAACACCACCACCACGGGCAGCGACAGCATGAACCTGGTCCTGCGACAGGGTATACTCCGCGATGGAAACTCCTACATATTCAGCCTCCACGTGACCGATGACAGCATGGACCGTGAGGGCGTGGCCTACATCGAGCTCCACCCCAACCTGCCTCCAGCCGGCGGGACGTGTTCTCTGTGGGCAGATGGCGACGGGCCTCAGGTGCGCACGCTGCTGGAGAGAGTGCACTTCAACTGCTCAGGTGAGACTGGAGAAGAAGGACTGCATGTAGGTCGCCGAGAAAGAGCAGATACTGAACTACACTGTGAAAAAAATTCCGTACAATTTACGGTAAAAAACTGGCAGCTGTGGTTGCCAGAATTCGACCGTAAAAAAATACTGTAGCAACATTTTAGGGTTTACGGATTTAACTTAAATTTACAATTAAAAATCGCATTTCATTAATTAACAACCTATTGAAGTTCTGAAATCTGTTTTGTACCTTTGTAATACACTGGTAACCATCAAAATCAGGTGGTGATGAGGAAGTCACATGATGAAGTTCACCACAAGCACTAAGTTCAGTTAAAATTACAAATTTTTTCTAAGTCAACCTACTGCAGTATTTCCTCTCTCAATCAGTAGAAAATGCGGTTAACACCTGAAAATGCATGAAAAGAAATACCATCATATACCGTGAAACTGGTATAATTTTGAAAAATACAGTGATATACATTTTTGGTCATGCCGCCCAGCACTATGCTGAACAGTCGCGTCTGGTTTTCAGGTTACACTGATATGGACGAGGCCGAGTCTCCGCTGGTGTATAGTCTGCTGGCGGTGCGCTGCTCCGGGCTGTACTGCGAGGAGTTCTGTGTGTATAAAGGCACGAGTCCAGAACATTCGGCCTTCCTGCCACCCGGCTTCAGCTCGGCCCAGTACCAGGTGACTGCGATTGTCATGGTGGAGGACCACCAGGGGGCCACAGTCATGGCCCGCAACAAGTAAGACACAGTTTGGCATGAAGACTTCCCGTGTTCTGTTCTTTGCTGGCAGCGCTGTGAATGGTTTGTGATGTGTGTCAGGTCGATGGAGGTGGTGCTGCCGGCGGTTCCTGACGGATTCAGCTGTCTCCCTCACTGGCTCAGCAATCTGACCGACTCCACCCTCAGAGAGCTGCTCCGTCAGGGAGATTCACAGAGAGTACGGGAGCTCTCGCTCGCCCTCATCACAATCCTCAATGAGGTGAGACCCGCCATCCACCTCTATCTATCTATCTATCCATCCATCCATCCATCCATCTCTGTCCTTCTTTCTCTATCTATCCAACTATCTATTCATCTATCTATCCATCCAACTCTATCCATCCATCTATCCATATTAATCTATCTATCTATCCATCCATCTCTGTCCTTCTTTCTCTATCTATCCAACTATCTATTCATCTATCTATCCATCCATCTCTATCCATCCATCTATCCATATCTATCTATCTATCTATCTATCTCTGTCCTTCTTTCTCTATCTATCCAACTATCTATTAATCTATCTATCCATCCATCTCTATCCATCCATTTATCTATCTATCCATCCATCCATCAGTCTCTGTCCTTCTTTCTCTATCTATCCAACTATCTATTCATCTATCTATCCATCCATCTCTATCCATCCATCTATCCATATTAATCTATCCATCTATCCATCTATCTATCTATCTATCCATCCATCCATCCATCAGTCTCTGTCCTTCTTTCTCTATCTATCCAACTATCTATTCATCTATCTATCCATCCATCTCTATCCATCCATCTATCCATATTAATCTATCCATCTATCCATCTATCTATCTATCTATCCATCCATCCATCTATCTATCTATCTATCTATCTATCTATCTATCATTTATCCGTCCGTCGTATCTTTCTCCGTCTGCTCATCACGTGGTGTGTTTCTGTGTGTCAGTATGAGCAGGGTGTTTCCCGCAGACGAGAGCGTGTGTCTAAGGCAGAGCGTCAGTACCGTGTGAGCGTCAGAGGAAACATCACCAGAGCGCTGACGTCACTGGACCTCACCACCGTCAGTGACATCCAGCAGACATCAGCAGCGCTCGCGCAGTGCACGGTGAGACGAGACGCACTCACATGCCTCACATCAGCTGAATCCTGAACCACTTCAAAAGACATAAAAGTGAATAAAATCTGTCTCGTATGTGTTTGTTTGCAGGCTGTGAGTCGAGAGTTTGTGTGTGAAGAGTGTCAGAACAGCACTCTGGACAAACTAGAGTCGATGTTAGAGATCCTGCAGACAGACACCAAACAGGGCACAGTCACCCCGACCGAGATAGCAGACAACATCCTTAATATCATGGGTAACACACACACACACTCAGACTCCAGTGAGAGGTAAACACAATCATCCATTTCATGGCTAATTGGCTATGTTATGCTAACACAGTCACAAACAAACAAACAACCCCAGAGGCAACAAGCTGTTACTGTTCACTTGTTTACATGTTTTCATTTTTCTCTTTTCTGACTGAGGGTCTTTGCACACTGAGTCTGAAATTTTCGTATGCATTTTTTCGTATTCGGCATCCTTTCCTATCAAAATGCTTGCTACGGATGCGAAAACGCAAAAAATCGAACCTGATCCAAATTTTTTTATGACGGGCAAAAGTTTCGGAGGCAGTGTGTAAATGTGATTGACACAATGTGAGGTCGTATTTATTTTTTAACGTGCGAAAATTTCAGACGGAAATTTCGGACTCAGTGTGCAATGACCTTAAATCTTATCTGAACCTAATTTACGTATGAAATTGCTGTCAAATAATTTAGTTTAATTAATTCTAAAGAAAATACAATAAAATATTTCTCAGTAAAATGCCCCTAACCTGTATGAATTATTAATAATTTAATTTAATACTTTTTTTAAAATTACCTTTCTGTTTAAAAGATCTGCATATTTCTATTTTTCTGAAGAATATTTTTTATTTTAATTCATAAAATAAAATATATATCATTATTATTTATATAGCATCATCTGCTCAATTATTTACTCATCTGCCATAAAATTTCTTTGATTCATCTTAATTTTGGGGCTTTTATTTAAATAACCCCTCTGTTTAAAATATTTGTATATTTCTATTTTAATATTAAATATTACCGTATTGACCCGAATATAAGACAATGTTTTTTTCTTGGAAATACATCTGAAAAAACGCGGTCGTCTTATATTCGGGCCAATACGGTACTCAATTTAATTTTTTTATTATTCATTTTAATTAATAAAAATTATATTATATTATATTTTAAGATATATATAATTATATTTATAATATGACTTATCTGCCACAAAAATAGTTTTAATTTATCTTTATTTGATTTATCTTCATTTTAAGGTTTTTCTCAGTAGTGTGATTAATTGAAATTAATTAGATTGATTTATTGACAGGTATTTTTTTCTTCTAATGTCTTTGATTTGTCTCCATTGTGAGGCTTTTATTTTTAAAATTACCTTTCTTTTTAAAAGATTTGTATATCTTGTCTCAGTCTTGTAGCACTTATATCACTCCTCTTTTCTGGTCTTTCGTGGAGCCTTTTATCCTGTTCCTGCTGGTTTTCAGTATTCATCCAGTCAGTAAATCAGACCTCCACACTGTCTCCTCCCTCAGGTGACCTGATCCACCAGGTGAGCCAGGCTGCCTCCTCTCCTCCTCCGGAGGCCGAGGACCGCGACGGCCTCTCCCAGCCGCCTCCGCTTCTCTTAGAGGAGCAGCAGCATCACCCGCTGCGGGTGGCCGCTAAAGCCTACACCCTGTCCTCCGTCCTCATGCGAATCCTCATGCTGGGCCGTGTCCTGAACGAGGAGCCACTGATCCTCCGCGGGGCAGAGATCGCCGCCGCCGGCAAACGCGCCGACCCTCAGAGCCTGCTCTGCTATGGCGAGAGCGACGCGGCCGAGTGCCGGCGTTTCTCCATCCCGCGAGCCTTCAACAGCAGTCTGGGACGGGCAGCAGGGGGCACTCTGGCGCCCAGTAGCGAGGACGGCATCGTACAGCTGCTGTTCCAAGTGGAGCCCAATCCGTTTCCGTTCAACTACGTCGCCAATTACACCGTGTCGACAGAGGTGGCGTCCATGGAGTTTCGCACGGTGAACGGCACGCAGATTCCCATCTCGGATCTGGACGACAGCCATGCCATAACGGTTGCTGTTAATAACGGGAGCGTGGCTGGGCTGGACGGGAACGGATTGGAGGCCGTGTTGCCGCCAGCGGGAGCTGAGAATATCAGCCGCTGCGGTTCAATCATCGTGAGGGTGAGCACGAGGAACACCAACAGACAGGCGGGAATCTACGTCCAGCTCAACTTCACCGTACTAGACGGTAAGACGCCCAACACAAGGGGGAGCCACTGAGAATAAGAAACTCGTTCAACAACAATCACAAACTGTGGCAAAAACGTTAAAATCTAATGACCAATTTACACTGTATGAGAAAAAAGCATATGTGTCATATAAAGGTAATGCTTTGCAATTAAATAATTGCCTTTAATATGGTCATTGTACTTAAGAAAGGTGTTCAAATATTGTCTGAAAACATCACTTTGTAAATAATAAATATGTAACTTAAAAAAGAAAAAAATAATAAAAATAAAAAAGCAAAAAATATACAGTATATATATTATTTTATTATAAGATTATTTATCTGTGATTAGCACTTCCATGATAAACATTTTTTCCACCAAATTATAGATTTACAGTGGTGGCCAAAATTGTTAGAACACCTGACAGATCTGAAAATATTGACCTTTTTTTGCCTCCAAAACATGAATTCATTTCATAATGTTCATGATTGAACACTGCTCTGAGCACAACAAATATCAGATGAAGTGAGTCGTACTGTTTTTATCCTCTTTTAACTTTAATATTTGGTGTGTCCACCTTTTGCAGCAATTACAGCAGCACATCTCTCTGGCACAGTGTCAATATATTTCCTGAGAACTTCAACACTAATGGTATCACATGCCTTCTGCAGCTCAAGCCAAAGGCTTTCCTTTGAATGTACAAAAGATCTGTACAGTTTATTTTCCAACTCGCCCCAAATTTGCTTGATGGGGTCGAGGTCCTAACTTTGAGGGGGCCAGTCCATCATTTTCAGTGTTCCAGCAGATTCCTTCCGTCGCAGGTAGTTCTGGCAAAACCTCTTAAATATGCCAAGTGTTCTAACAATTTTGGCCACCACTGTATATTTTCTTCCTGTTAAAAACTTGTGCTATAAAAAATAATAACAATTAATCTCATGTTATCTGATCAGTATTTAGAAAGCTGAATGAGAAAATATCATCAAATTGTGAAATGTCCAATAATAAATAAATTAATAAACAAACATATTTCATGATATTTGATTAATAAAGGACATTAACTTGTCATAGTGTTATTTTATTATT